AACTAGTTATCCATAATATTCTTATTATTATTATTATTATATAAATTATTATTAATAATATATTATTATTATTATTATTGTTGTTGTAGCTGTTGTTGTTGTTATTATATTTATTATTGGTATTAGATAGTCTAATACATACTCCAAGTATCGAAATGCACGCCATCGTGGCGGGATCCCGACACGCTGGCATGCTTTTCGATACTTGGAGTATGTATTATACTATCTTATCTGAGATTATTGGTATTACTTATTGTTGTTACTTAGAATTGTTAGCAACCCTGATTTGTTTCCACCCTCATTACAAAATGCAATTTCAACATACCATCTACAATCACATGAATCACATAGCCTCCTACACCAACTGCCAGATTGCTCAGGATTGAGTTTGTACATTTGATGGAAGAAGTATAAATATAATTCAATATTAGTAATTGAAAATTAAAACAAGAATTTCTCGGTAATTAACAGATGCATAAATACTACAGATATTACATACTTCGCTTAATAAATGGATTAGAAGTGAATATTTAATATTTTTGTAGTAAAAAATCTGTAAATCAATAAAAAAATTAATTGTTTCAATCAGTCTCATTCTAAAGTAGATTTCTCATTTTATCCTAAATGAGCTATTTAGTTGTTTTAATTGAAATTTTAAATGTTTTTATATTTTACCAGATAGTTAGGTATGTTCAAAAAGATGTCAATTTCTAAACAAAGGTAGGTTAATTATTAAAAAGTTCACAGAAATACAAGTCCATAATCAGGTAATTACTGTAACTCATGATATTGACATCACACTAATGGTCACTTAAAATCGCAGTGCTGAAAACCTAAATATTAACTAGACACAGTGCCCATTAAACTAATTTACAATGGGTAATTATTACAGTTGATAACTTAACTGCCTTTGTTAAGAATACAATAAAATATATATTTCTGTAATAATTTTTACAAACGAAAACTAATAAAAAATGACATACCGTGTCTTTTGAGCCAAATAGCAAACAACAAATTATTATTAATCAGTAGCAGACCCAGAGTAAAACCTGGGGAGTGGGTGGGGGTGGCGTACAGTAGTCAATTGTAAAATAATATCAATACAAGTACACAATCACATCTTTTATCATTTAGCACAGTTTTCAATATAATTTTCTTTCCTCTCTTCCGTCTCCCTCCTCTCTTTTCTTTTTCATTTTTTTGGGGGAGGGGGAGGGGCTCTATCCCCTGGATCTGCCTCTGTTAATATAAATATTTTAAATTTTAATATATATTATACAGATTTTATAGGAATAATAATTAAAGTCTAACACGCCACAGATTAATTTGCTTCTGGTAGAGGATGAGCTAAAAAAGAGTAACTAAAAGACTCCAGTATGTTATTTTAAATGACCCCAATGTTCACTTGCTATTTTTATTCAGAATTCATGTGTCATGCAAGCTATGTCGCATAACAATAACAATCTGTAGCCGTCATCCTTCTTGTGCTCTTTAATTAAAGTGTCTAATTTAAGTCTCTAATCCAGTCACTGTCTGTCTTCAAATAAGCAAAGTAACAGTGAGGTGAATACAAGTCAAGTAAAGATATGTGATTTTTTTTTAGCTCAACACAGTGATTGTAATGTTAAGCACTGTCCAGACAATAACATTTTATTGACAAAAATGTGACATGCCTAAATATGGTCATGATGACATCACATTATGACCATATATAGGCACATCATAACTATTTATGGATACACAGCACAACAATTTTTTGTCAAATAAAATTTGTATTACTGTAGTGTGGACAGGACTTAAATCACAGGTGGGCAAAGTGCAGGCCCGCGGGCCGCATGGTGCCCAACAGTGACATTTTTTTTTTTTGCAGAAAATTAATTAAAAACCTGTTTGTGCGGCCCACTTGATACTTGATTGCTTGACCCTTTACTCCTGGGGAAGGGTTCTCAGAATACTGTTAAAAGATGCCACAAAAACAAACACATTGTTTTTTACGGCCTGACACCAATCACATGTAAAACGTAATACTAAAACTGAGAATGAAGTAGTGTGATCAGTGCTTGGGGGTTTTTGGAAGCTCACTGGAAAAATCAAGTTTGGGTATGGCCCTCAGTGTTAAATCAAAAATTAATTTTGGCCCTCTGACGGATTTTTATGCCCACCCCTGGCACATTTCTTAAGCTGTTGGTAGAGGCAACAGATTCCCACACTTACATTACAAACCTCTAAAAGTCCAATTGAAATTGAATATATACTATTGGTTTGATGTGATTTTTACTTTTATAGTCTGTTATTTTTATTGTCTTTTAATCCAAAAGAAAATGTGAACAGCTTCAATTTATCATCTACCGTAAACCCTAACGCAGTAAAAACATATGGTTTGAAATTCCAGCTGTATGGACTAATAGTAAGTAAATCGTTGCCGAGCCACAGGGCTCAAATGGGCTGGAGCTTATCCCCAGTTTCACGTAGCCTGAAGCAGATGAGGATGTGATGCTTCTCATGGAGTGGGACGCTGGTCCACCAGAGGTTACTCCAAATTTGCTGGTACCCATTGATACAGTTGGGTTGAAACAATGTACATAAAGTACCTTGCTCAAGGACACTAGCTCAAAGGATTGACACCCCAGCCTCCAGATTGGGAAACCAAACCATTTCGAAGAAGCGTTCGCTATACGTAGACTACACCCTTTGCTTAACAATGGGCTCAGAGCTTCAAAAGACCTTTCTTTGTTTTTGTAGGTATCTTTGATCATTAGAGTAAGAATGCTTTGATCTTTTGTTTAAATCACTGCTATGTCACCTACTAGAGGTAATGTTTTGATTGGTTAAACACTTTTGGTACTAGTGCATGCTTGCTAATATGGATAATTTTTCATTCCTGATGATGACATAATTAATGTCGAAATATTGAATCCCAACACGATGGCGTGTATTTCAATACTTGGAGTATGTATTATACTTTCTTATCTGAGATTAATGAGTGGACCTTTCGGTTCAAACCATTTCCACTGTGCCAAACGCCTACACTAATGGTGCATTGACTTAACAACGATGACGGCTGTTTAATGCCAAATATGCCGAGACTCCAAAACAAAAGAATAGTTTTGGCGGCATTTCTCTGACTGTCAATAAAGAAATTCTCATATTTCACATTTAATTTGAAATCAACAATATAACAAACAATCCAAGACAAACTAGTTGTCTTCTGAATAACACAATTTCTTTAAGAATTGATTCAGTGAATGTACATGTTTCAAAAGAACATTGATTTTTAATTCCTTCGGCAAAGTTTACTGTGTTCTCTATTGATCTAAACTGAGAAGGCAAACCCTGTTAAAGCATCAATCATGTGTAAACAGCTATATGAGTCACTGCACTTACAAATTCAAAACAATTGTATGTAATAATAATAACTACATCATATTTTTTAAATAGAATTTATTTATATCGCATAAAATGACTTGTGCAATACTGTAATATACATTAGTAAAGACAAATGGTGTTTACTAATGGTATATTAATGCACAAAAATTTAATTATTAATTAGCTATTTTAAAGCATATATGTATTTTAAGTGTTATTTTAGTGATATATTACAGGTAGTTATTTTATGTTATCAAGTATTAATTATAGGTTGCTTGTCTTAAGAGAAATAAATAAGAGCTCATGAAAGAATGTTAAATAAATAAATTAATGATCAAATAATCTGCAGTAAAATAGTAAAGCAATGTATGATGATGCAATTTGCTTCAATACCTAAGCTTTATCCCATCCTTGTAATTAAATTAAATTAAATTAAATTGTATGACTCACTCACAATATTGCTACAAGCTATTTAATGTCATCTGCGGTACCATTAAATTTATTTAAAATTATTCACAATTAGCCACAACATACCCCCAATTATGTATTCATCCCTAAAGATATTTTACTCTGGTAGCATTAGAGGAGCAAGGATACAGTTACAGTAGTAGTTGATGAGTTTTTCTTGTATATTATAGTGAAATAACATAATGAAGACTCCATGGCCTTTTGACATACAAGTCAATGAACCAGCCACGCAGCAATGATTACTGTACATCCCTTTGGATTGTATCTCTATCAAATGCCAACAATCTTGTCTACACCACTGGGGCTACTTCGGAAAGTTTTAACTAAATAATGTTCATGGAAATTGGATAAAAGGTGTTACTTCTTCATGATACTCAGACCTACAGAATTGTCAAGGGCGTAGGGTGGAGGATGTGTGCAAGTCCTCCCACAGCAGAAAATTAGTTCTGCCAAGTAGGTTATAAAAACGAAAATAACCAATTGAGTTTTCAGTGGAAATGGGATTTCGTTACATACCACCAATTTTTGCAACACAGACCAAGATCGGCCTGTGCCCCTATTTTTTATCATCACACTTATGAAAGAAAGTGAAATAGTATCAACTCTGTAGGGTTCTTAATTAATTTAAATGATTACTTCGTTCATTATCTATATTTGTGAATTTTGCTTTCAACAAGAATAGGCCTATTTCCTACTACATGTTTCCCTCCAATTAAGGACAACTTTTGGGATTGGGGTTTCCATGGCCGTTTGCAGCTTTGGTCTCTAATAAAGACAAATTTGGGACCACAAAAAAAAATTGGAAGACTTGTATTTAGCGCAATACTTTTAACAAAATAGCAAATGTCATCACTTATACTTAAGTAACACATATTGAGGAATAAAATGAAAAAACTTTAAAATAAAATATGTGAAAATCGGGTGTGTCTATCGTAATAATTGCGGTAAACCTAGAGATGAATCATCCGTTCCTTTATGCATTTGTAATTGTTCTGATGCAGGCGATTAAACACTTAAACCACAAATTCTTCTTGGCCTAGGGCCTACTACGATACAGCAATTCAAAATTCTCCATAAATTCCCGAGTTAATGGTTTTCTCGAAGATACCTTAAATTCTAAATAACTTGAACATTGCTTGTACAGTGTAATATTAAACATTACTTACCAGAAATTATAGTATATTCTCAGTATCTCCGAACTGTTTTGAATAACTTGGAAGTGGCGCTACATTGGTTATTAGCACTCTTGCCAGCAAACTTGTTCAAGAAGTGCAATCAACCGTGACATGTCTAATGGTGGCGCAGTCATTGTTTTCAGACAAAATACAATAGCCTCATTGAAATTGTTAACGCCAAAGAATATATTAAGATAGTATAATACATACCACTCCAAGTATCGAAATGCACGCCATCGTGTCGGGATTCAATAATTTCGACATAAATTATGTCATCATCAGGAATGAAATTTTTTTTAAAAATCTATCTAGCCAGATAAAAACCACTAAAAATGCTGAGTTTGCCTCAAGAAATATCATTTGCCTTACCTGTCGTGTTTTCGTACCAAATACTCAGTACGTCCCCAAATACTAGCCAATATTAAAAACCACGACCTCCAGGTTATCTTCCCGTGGTCGACTAAACGGAGGGAGGAAGCACCGCGACCCCTAAGCCATAAATGAACCTTTGTACCACACCAAAAAACCAGTCAGTCAAGAAAACTTTACAACATGATACGAATATATACAGCTGTGGGTCAATATTACGCATGGACACGGTGTCAAGAGTAAATAAACAAAATTAGATCTGATCCCCAAATTATTGAACATGGAGTTCCACAAGGCTCAATTCTTGGCCCCCTTCTTTTTTCCCTTTACATATCCCCTCTATCCGAAATTATCAAGTCCCATAACCTTAATTATCACATTTATGCTGATGATATCCAAATTTATATTGATTTTGATCCCTCTGACTCTGATTTCATTCAAACACGACTCGAAACCTGCCTCCACGACATCCACAGTTGGCTGTCCAATAACATGCTTATGCTAAACGAAAATAAAACTGAATTCATCATCTTCGGCACTAATAAATCTAGGTCAAGAATTAACATCAACTCACTCCATATTGGCTCATCTATCATTAAAACTTCCTCTACCATTTCCAACCTTGGCGTCACATTTGATGACAAGCTTTCCATGCAAAATTACATTGGTAAACTCCTAAAATCTGTTAACTTTCATCTACGTAATATAGCACTTATCAGAAAATACTTATCAAAACGAACTACGGCTCTGATTATTCACGCTTTCATTTTCTCCCGACTTGACTATTGCAACTCTCTTTTATTTAACATTCCTAAAATCCAAATTAACAGGCTTCAACGACTACAAAACTCTGCTGCACGCATACTAACATTTACTAACAGACGCATTCATATTACCCCCATTTTACGTGAACTTCACTGGTTGCAAATTGATGCCAGAATTCAATATAAAATCCTTTTACTGACTTATAAGTCACTGACTCTCAATCAACCCGCATACATTAATCAACTTCTTCCCAAATATGTGCCTGGCCGTTCCCTACATTCATCTGATCTCAATTTAATTTCTGTCCCTCGCACCAACACTAAGACCTTCGGACACAGATCATTTTCATTTGCTGCAGCCACACTCTGGAACGCACTACCACTTCACATTAAAAAATCAACATCAATTGCTTTATTTTAAAAATCACTCAAAACGCACTTATTCCAACAATAACATGAAGCGCCACTGATAATTACTTCGGTTTTTTAAATGGCGCCGTATAAGTTCTTACCTTATTATTATTATTATTATTAAAGAAAAATTTAAGTATTCAAAATAATTGTTAATAATAAATATATATATTATGTTCTTATAAATATTCGAAATAATTGTTATGAATGAATATTATTTAAAGTCCGTTTTATTTTAAAAAAAATCATGTTAAAAATATATTATAAAAATATTCAAATTAGATACAGAAAAATGGTTCGGGTGGGAATCGAACCCACGACCTCCAGTTATCTAGCCAGATGAAAACCTCTACGAGGAAATATCAACGGAGTGATTATTTGCTATCGTACCGAATTAGGTTTAATATTCTAATACTAACATTATTGACAATTCGCAAAATTGGTCTATACTTGGATTGGAGTATGTATTATATTATCTTATCTGAGATTAATCAGTGGACCTTTTGCCAAAGAATATAGATAGAGGATTCTTTGCTAACGCCTTTATAACATTGTATTATAGGATAGAATGAATCATTAAGACGGCCATACTGATCAATGGACCGAATTTTTCATGAAGTTACTTTGTACTAAGTGTCTACGCAGAAGAATCATTAGTTAAGAAAAAATGTTCATTTCATTGATAATATGTACAGATCGATGAATGAGAGGTCAAGTAGGGGCCTATTGCCAGTGCACCAGTGGGGGGACAGGGGGAGCTTAAGTTCCCCCACCGGACAGGTCAATACCCCTTCCCCGTCGGACAGAGCTCGTCGGGCAGTCAGATCATAAAAAAGTATATAAATAAACAGGCCCACACCAAGCCAACACATGTCTGTCATAGTCTGAGAGTGCCTTTTCCGGTCATAGTTTGCTATCTCATTTGGCGGCAACAAGTCGTCACCTTGTTGTAAAAAACGTAGCTGAATACAGTAGGCCTATATTTTTATAGTATAGGCCTACATGTTATATGGTTAAGTACATAATGTCCCCATTGATTACTCAACCAACTGCCAAGCTGATGTAGCCTTTGTTAGACTAACTCCTTGTATGTTTCTATATCAATTCAAAACAGACATGCATAATAGTAATCAATATAATTTCTAAGCTAATATTTTATTATGGGATCAATGTATACCGCCTCACATGACTTTAACATATCATTCTATATTATTCTACACAAAACATTGAATGTAATTATAGCAAATACTGTCAGATCAAATCAATTAAAATCTATTATAGGCCCATTGGTTACCGGTATTTGCACCACAACGTGACTTTTTATTTCAAAGATTGAATCATCAATTATGGCCTAAATTATTACTAAATGTGAACCGATACAATAAAACAATTCCAAATATTAAACATCATTGCGTAAGAACACTAGACTTCATTCATTTCAATTTAGCGATAAATATAGGAAACGTCAAAACATGAAAAAAAATAATACTAATATTAATAAAGTCCCACGCAAATCAGCGATCAAGAGTGCAAATCGCACGACTGGTGTTCATTAGCACTCATATGTGCGCATTCATGCATTTTGGGTGTGATGACAAGTAGTGTATATAGTTCATTTAAAAAGCTATTAAACATTATCACTGTTAATTAAATAACATAATGCCTTTCACTTCAGTAACACCAGTGTTAAGCGACCTCAGTCACAACATATGATGCACATTGCATACACCAAACAGAAAATCTACAAAAAACGGAAAAGAATGGTATGGAATTTTGATACATTTTGAAGATACAAGTTGGGTTAATATATAAATGTAAAGACAATTCGTAGGCTAATAATACTGTACTTCGTGATCTCCTTTTAATAAAATACTGTATTTATTCGAGTAATTCCAAATGTTAAACATCATTGCGTAAGAACATCCGACTTTACTTATTTCAATTTAGCGATAAATACAGAAAACATTAAAAACATTTAAAAAGAAAATAAAAGAAAATTCGCACACAAATCAGCGATTAAGAGTGCAAATCGCACGACTGGTGCTCATTAGCACTCATATGTGCGCATTCATGCATTGTAAGTTGGGTGCGATGGCAAGTAGTGTATAGTTTATTTAAAAAGCTATTAAACATTATCACTGTTAACTAAATAACATAATGCCTTTCACTCAAAGATCTTATGAACACAAGATATCGTTCTCCGCGATTTACGCGTAACAAATAGAAGCGTCGGTCAAGGTTCAAAAGTTTCCAATTTAGCAAGAGGGCGCCATTCATACGCTATTATACCAAAGAGAAAAAGTAATCAGTTTTGGAAGAGGGCGTCCTATCTGTTGCCATGGATCTGAGATGGTTCCTGTTCTGCAGCTGGAACATAGAGCTATTAAACAACTAGAGTGCTGACAAGATGGCGCAGCAATGCAGAGTTATGTATGTGTACCATCCAAGATGGCCGTCGTAGTAAAGCGCCACCTTCAGGCTCAGTATACATATTATTACATATTAATAAGCCCTCTGACTGACTATTATTTCATTAATGATAATGAATAATGGTAATAACAACTTATTAAACTATTGTAGCCAAAACGAGGCCAAGTGAAGCATCTTATTCAAAAATAAAGTACCAAGGAATCAAAATTAAAATCGTATACATTAAACCCAAACACCGCAACGCTCGAGTTTCAAACATAGCTGTACTGAACTTTCTGAGTAAATTGCGGACGCATTTGCAAACGATGGCGATTAGCGAAATTTGATTGGCTAAATCTATGGTAGCCATCTTGGATGGTACACACACACAGTTCTGCGTATTTCGAACATCGAATACATTGCGGTTAGCGCTCTAGTATTCTTATTATACCTCTATGAGCTGGAATGATACCGCGGTGTACGGTATGGTCAGAGCGGTCAAGGGTCAAAAGTTTCCAATTTAGCAAGAGGGCGCCATTCATGCCTTATTACAGAATTTGCACGCGTAAATCCCGGAGAACGCTATCTTGTGTTTATAAGATCTTTGCTTTCACTTCAATAACACCAATAGTAAGGATATGAGTACGTCTAAAAGTTGCTGATGATTAAGCAACGTTAGTCACAACAGATGATGCACATTGCATACACCAGACAGAAAATCTACAAAAACGGAAAACAACGGTATGGGTTAATACATAAATTTGAAGACAATTCTTAGGCTAATAATACTTTATACATCTCCTAATAATTAAATGCTGTGTTTATTCGAGTACAAGCCCCGTAACGTATATTTTGGTGAGAAGGGTTTTTGAGGGGCGTTTACTCGTGGGATACCTTTATTCAAAGGAGGCGTTATTTTTTTAGTGTAAAATGGATACGTATACATACTCAAATTGAAACGCCCTACAATACATATGCCTAATTACTGTCGAACTATGTGTTACTGTGTAAATTATTGAGTGGCTGTTGAAAAAAATGAAATTCTACTGGAGTAGGAAATTAGTAGAATATGTTGAGAATGATGTTGCGAAGCTCAAACAATAATTAGAAAATCTTTGGTTTACACTGACCCAGTGGGGGGGGGGGGGCGTTTATTGGAAGAAAAAATAAACTCTCCGGTGCATTTATTCCAGGGAGGCGTTTATTACAAATGAGGCTCTGGAGGGGACGTTTATTCAAAGCGGGCGTTTATTCGAATACGGTCATAACGATGGCAATGTTACTTAGGAAAATAATCATGATCATTATTAGTAACGATGACAATAGGTCTAATGGTAATGGTAACTGTATAGTGGCAACGACATGGCAATGACAATGACAAGGAAAATGGCATTTGAAATTATAATGATAATGATAAATAATAATGAAAATAAAATGAAATACAAAAAAAAGATCATTGTAGCCTACCTCAAGAAAAGCCAGACCCAAACCAGGGCCGCCAATGAAGAGGGCGTTCTTCTCAACCCAATCTTGAAAAGCTTGATAACATCCATTTGAGTTCATGTTATCAGCATTTGGATTTGAAACACAACCATTAACATCAACCGGTGTTGGGTATTTGCCGTCTTCGAAGTCATTTAGATCAGCAACCTTTAAATAAATAATAAAGACTCCATGGTTACATCGCTTGCTCATCTCCCTTCCGACACACACGCAAGACAGATAATTATACGTGTGCGCCGGGTGGGTGCCTATGCGTGCGATTTCATGTGCGTGTGTACAGGATCCAGACATTGGCACCGGCGACATGACATGGCGAATGTTAAGGTGAGAGATAAAATACCGTATTTTTTAAAAATATAAAGTAATTGCAGCGTCTGTTGGTCTGGCGAATTATATAAATGCCACCTGCCACAACCAAAGAGAAATACAGATAAAATAAATGCAATACATTTCTTGCATTTTCTAAATATTAATTAAAAAAGAGAATGTAGCCTAATTAAATCGGTGGCGTGATGTACTGTGATACGTACACTGTTGAGTTTTGTGTTTTGATTTTTATGTCCCAATGTATGGTTAATCAAGAATCAATCACAGTGGAGGATGTGTGCGTTGATTCTTGTAGCCTTAAATTGCACATAATTTTGTTATATTTTGTTATTTCAAAATCACACCGAAGCGAAAAAAATATATATATTATTTTAAATATTATATTACTATTGCTCTTAAATTTATTATTATTTGATTACATTAACGAATGCTATTTTAAAAAAAAAACAGTGCTTATATTGGACTGAGTAGCATAATTAGGCCCTATAGACCTAGAGTTTAAAACTTACGAACATACTCAAAAGCTGGAATTTGATAATCTATTAAGAAAGTTCAAAAATGACCACAAAACACTGTTGATCTCACGGGCCAAAGTTCATATCCCGAGTTGTAAGGTTGTTATATTTTATGGACCTAAGTTGCTACCCGGCCCTCAAAGACCTTTGAAGGTTTTTGGCAATACGTCTCAGAATGCAGGAAAGTTTATTTTAGAAAACTAAAACTTTCCGGAAGCCCCGAGACCTTCTCCCCAACGTCTAAATAATGTGTCTTTCAGAAAACAATCACAGATTACACTCTCCTCACGACCAAGCCCACCTTGGCACCCATCTGTGCAATATAGTCAGGGTAAACTATGGATTCGTGCCTGTGTGTATGTAGGGGTGCGATTGTGGGACGAAGAAGCATGACATACCTTGCAACATGAAGGGGGATAAGTCCACGTCTTATTCAAATACGAGCTGCCTGCATACGGTGTTGACTTCCAGTCGGCTGATGAATTAGTCCCACAACATTCAAGCTGAACATAATAAAAACGAAAACAGTATCACACAGACAAAACATATGGTATTATGGTCTTGGGGAAACAAGAATACAATTATATATTCATGTGAGTGTGCTGTAATATTACTGTATATTAAAACTGTTAAAGTTGTAGCTATTAGGCTACATTTAATATTTTGTTCAATGTTCAATTTAATATTGTGTGCAATGTTTTGATATTTATGTAAACTCACAGGTTTGTCCTCTGGGATTGATGTGAGGTTTTTATACCAAATAAATAAATAAATTTACATACTTATAGGAGGTTATAGCTTACTAGAATTTGGATGCTATTCCATCCATTATTATATTTGTTGTCATCATCCCAAGGAGTTATGTAATTGTCCATGGAATCGCCAAGTTCGTGTACGTCTACTTTATCCTTATACGCAATTACGATGGAACAAGATATGAACTGAATCCAAAAGACCACTAGAACTATAATGAAGTACTAAAAAGAAAAGAAGACACTTTAAAAAATTGATAAACCTGTGCTATATTATTATACGACCGTATTACGTAGATGGGCGCACGTCACAGCATCGGTCAAGGGTCGTCTGGCCGACTCGTTTAGACCGTCGAGACGGACTACAATGTGTGCCAGGCTATTCAGTTCTTGAAGTCGCAACGTATGACCATGGAAGAATAGTGATCGTGACGTAGAGTCGTTTATGTTATTTGGATTTATTTAATTGGATTATGCGAAATTACATAAGTTGAAATAACATGGCATACAAGCTAACTTCCTTACTTTATGGGCACGCAGATCGGTCGAAAACATTATTCGGCGCACGCGCACTTCGAGAAGTATTCTGAAAGTCGGAGTGACGTTCAACGAATTGGCGTTAGGATTTAGGCGTACTGGGTTTATTTTTAGTGGAGATTGTAGTTTGTTGTATTAAAATGCTTGCCACCCAATACCAGGGTCATGGTTTCAAATTCTGTGACAACCCAGGATTTTTTCTCACGAATAAAAAACATCTCCACTCCCTAGTCCCGTAATGAGTCTTCGCTGACAAATCAACACATTTATATCAGCCGACCTTTACGATTGAAGGGTTACCCTCTATAAATATGGTTTTAAAAAGTGTCATTATATTTAATGCTGCTCTTGGCACAGTACTAAAAACATGATTCAAAGATATACCGAGCTAATAAACTTGAACAAGATTTCAATTCATTACTTAGTATAGCCTACTTATATTAGCTTAGAATAGGCCTAGGCTATTTAAACAAAAAGCATGAATAAAGTACAATATAGGCCTACCTGTATTGATATCGCAATACCAGCAAATATTAGTCAATAAATTAATATAATTGAGTCTATTAGGCCATGCCATATTAGGTCGACTTTATCATATATTGTAAAATAAACTCTTCTGAGGCCTAATATCTAAATTTCTCTCGTTGATATCACAGTTGTTTACAATATAGGCATGTTTAATTCTTAGGTTCAAAATGATATATTTGTAGGCTATATCAAAGTAAAATAACTGAAATAACGTAATACAGTATTCCATCCGTTAGTCCAGGGAGCGGTTGCCAAAGTGTGGCGTACAGCTGGTCCACGTGCCAACACTACTCATCATCAACACACGTCACCTCAAAAGTTACACCCTAGGCCTACACATAGCAGCAGGGGTGTATCCAGGAATTTTTCTGGGTGGGTCGTGATCATAATTTTTTGGACCTTTTCACAATGAAATAACAGCAAGATGTCATTAAAATGTCAATACAATTTGCTTGATGTGGATGGCTCAGTTTCAGAATTGATGGAATTGAGATAGATTACGTCACGCAATTGGCAAGGTTTTTGGACTCATTGCTGGTACCTCATCAATGCCTTTTCATTTATGTCATTATGAAAAGGCCCTAGAAAAAATGTCTGAACAAAATGTGGACTTTTTGAAAATTGGGGGGGGGGATCGTACGACCTTCCCGACTCCCCTTGCATACACCCATGAGCAGTGTCACCACACAGGTCGCCAACATCACGAAAACCCTTCTACACTAACATCCTATAACTACACAACCAACGGGCCCTTTACCACCACACCACCATTATCCTTATTCAACACACCAACGGCCGCTTGTGCCCAACACTAAGCATCTATGTATGCGCGTACAATTATTAAAATACACTTATTCTTCTTGATGCCTCCGCAGAATCCAAGGATGGACACGATGACGATGAAGATACCCAAGCCGATGAGGATATACGCAGTGTTGGCCACCACTGCATTATCCAGAATGGCTAGAATATCCAACTTATGTGGATCGGTCACAATCCATATACCAACAGAAAGAATGGAAATTCCTATTGCCTGTAACAAGAAAAACAACAGTTTGGATAATGTTTTTGTTAGATACAATATTATATTATATATATAATGTATATTTCTGAAGTGAACATATATATATATATATATATATATATATATTTATTTATATAGGCCTATATATATTTATATATATATTTATTTATGTAAATATAGGCCCTATGTATACATATATATTATATATATGCCTTTATATAATTCGTTCATATATTTATATTTATATTTTAATAGGCCTAAGTTATTCACAAACGCAACGACTCATGACTCCACACATTATATAATCTTGTTCTTATTAATTGTTACTTGTATAGCGCTTTTCCTTGTTGTGACAGGTATTGAATGATAATGAATTCCTTTATGCGATTATTTCCATGTGATAAACAATATTAGCTTCGGGTATAACCAAACGAATAATACGTACTCACATTCCACGGTGTTAATACTTACACAAAAAATTATATTGAAGATAATCAACAAAGCTCTTGCAAAAGTTGTACAACACATGTCGAGAGGGCGTTCTGTAAACTAAGAATTATCATCATGAATACTTTGTAGCTTATTTCACATCAGGAATATAAATTATTTCATGTTGTACATCTAAAAAAATATAGGGGTGAAAATTATATAGGCCTATTACAATAAATTTCAATATGGCCGGGTGTGTGTGCCTGGGCTGGACGCTGAGGACACTACAGTGGAAGAGGGGAAAGTATTTACTGACAGGGTGGAGATCCATCAGGGGCAGGGGAATAATTCCGGATGGGGGAAACTTTCTCAGCATGGTTGAGAACATTCTGTTAGTGTGGAGAACTTCCCGAAAGGATCAGAAACTTTAATACCTCTACTCGAGAATTAGCACGTTATCAGCGAATTTCCCTCTTCTATAAAATTTTTCAACCGCTTGGAAAATTTCTTCATATGGAAATTTCCACCTTTAAATCAATTACATTGTACAGTACATCATTTTATAAGGCATCAGTCAATACACAGGTCCTCTCATATAATATTACTTATGCAAAACAACATCAATTTGTAATATTTACTACCACTACTAAAAAATTAAAATGCTTGTGAATGGTTGGGATGGGGCTACGTTTGGGTGGACCATTGTTTTTGTATTTTTCATAGAAATCAGTAGACGATTTATGTATGATTTTTCCGAAATTTTTTATGATGAAATCATTTAGGAAAAAAAAGCCTTGAGCTGGACCAGAGAAACACATAGGCACCTAGTGAGGGGAAAGGAGGAGACCTCAAATGGGCATGAAAGGAACGAAACTTATCTTGCGCTTCGGCGATCTATTGTTGTTTTTTTTTTACTCTTAAGTTGCAATATTTATGCAGCACCTTACCTGAATAATCAGTGATTACGGTACTGTAATTAACATTTCAGTGAACTTATTGAATGAACATTGAAATTACAATAAGCAAAAACGGACCCACCAAAACGTAACCTCATATCGATTAAGAACATTTAAAGTTTTAGTATCGGTTATAAAATTTTGCATAATTGATGTTCACTGTGGCTCCTGGAAAATGGTTTGCCACATACAAGTTTTGATTGAAAGATGCTTACGTGCGGTGGCAGATATATCGAACCCCTTTTGAGGACCCCGATGCTCAAGACTGGCTTGCTGTCCCCCATCCGTAATCCCCTAGAAGGATACTCAATAAGAACGATCTCAATTGAGTCCGTATAAATTATATTCTTTAAAAGTAAACGGTTTCCATTAAAACTCTACTCGAAATCGCCGAGAGGACTTTTTGTAACACTGAGACTACATGGAACAAAATAATGAAGCCCGAGCGTAAATATTACCTTATTGTATCATAAAATATATTTATTAAAGCAGAAGTTTAAAAAAAATGAATATTTAAATGATTTTCGGTCGACGTAAGCCTTTACAATAAAACGAAAACGAATGATTTCCAGTCGGAGATTCAAGAGTAGACCTATAAGGATCAATTTATAATGCGGGGGTCGGCTAATGCACCCCGCATTTTAATTTTTGAGACCCCAAAACTATTTTTTTTATATGCTAGTGAAATTGCTGTTGGTGTTTTTTTCTACTTCTAATTACAGTAGTAAATTATTAAATAAGCTCTGATTAGGTCTGCCAATAGATTATCTGAAATATTTAATTAATCAGTGATCATTATTACTGAGGTGCAAACAAACTGCAATTCAATGATTTAAAAATTTGCTGCAGTGTAGCTGACGATACATGTACTTACCAGAAAATGTATAGGCCTAGGTCAATATTACACTTCTCAGAACTCCAAACAGTTTTGGATAATTTGGAAGTGACTTCAACTTCAGTATACGAAAACAAGGAGTTCATGCAACCATGACGTGTTAAAATAATGATGGCGCACTCATAATTTTCAATGATTTGAAATATGGTACATCGACTGCTCATACATTCTGAAACATTTTAATCAACATGGGAAAATTCTTGCAAGTAAACCCATAATATACGTTTCGATCCATTTAAGTAAACCAATAATATACGTACCTTTTGTGACTTTTCGATCCGTTGTCACAAACAGTAAGTATATTATTGGTTTATTTACAAGAATTTTGCCATGTTCATACGTTACAGAAACAAGATGAAACTATTTGAGCTTATTTTAATCGTTGCAAAGAATCTAAAACAACTATAACGATCAAGATACATATAATTAAATCAATTTGAAATCGACAACGATTATAATGGGTAAAATTAACGCCTCAAAGTTGGAAAACTGTTCATTATCGGTAGTGTTTTAATCAATGATGATTTAGAGGTCTAAATAAATTAAAATAATATTTTAGGCTTTTACATTATTGTTTAGAACAAAAATTTAAATGGAATGAAGACTATCGATAGTCATTTCATGACAATTTATTTTCATAGGTTTACCGAAATTAAATATTAGTATTATTAAAATCATGTATACTAATAATCCTTCTATCGGCTTCTCTTGTCATTCCACTCACTGGTGTAAGGTTAGTGAATTGTTATCCACGATTTAATATAATGTCTTTAGTTAATAAAATACGTACATTTTGGCATCAGAATACATAAAGTTTCCGACTCAAAAGCACGGCCGATGATGAGTATAGATGTACAGACGTATAATATATACATGGGCCCATAATAAAAATCTGTATAAATTATATACGGTACTATATATTGCTGTAACTGTGGTTTCGATATTTTCCTCATTAATACGAATTATCATAAATGCCACAATGGGCCTAATCTCTGATACGTTGGTTTGATAGTCTGAATTTCCCTGCGGTGACGCCATTCTCAGAATAATTATCGACAAATGATTTAAAGAGGAATACACCAATATACTAAATGTGCAGTAAGTTTATTCAAAATATTCATAATCCTACACAGTTTCCATAGATAATATAGAACAATATGTAAAATATATTCCACTAGCTACAAACTATTTGAGTAAAAATCGGGTGGGTTTTTCGTCCTAAAGGTGGTGACAGAAGAGCACCTACCGTACGGTACTAAAATAAAGAACAAAACTATCCTGTTCTCGAAAAAGAGACACTTCAACTGTATCTGCTAAATATAACAGATTCTATATATGGTGGTTTCAGAAAAACAGTGTTCCCACCAAAATATAAGCACAGCCTATTGGGTTGCTTTACCAACTAAGCTGTGAGAAGCCCCACCCCTTCGATATTGTTGCTAAACAACAAAACGACAGCGCGTGCGTATGACGTGTGTATTCCTGAACCTGTTCTGATTGGCCAGTAGTTAACTGCGATTGACACTCTGGAAGGGTCCAATTTTATTATTGCTTAATACGCAATCGACAGATGAATCAAAGAAGCTTAGCTTATTTAAAATGTTCATAGAGAACATTATAACACGGGCCCCAGATTTCTAATCTAAATCTATATGATAACAAATTAGACCTAGACGTACACAATGTATTTACATTTTAGTTACTGTGTGAGAATATACAAGTTTTATCTAAACTTTTCATAGTGTGTATTTTTAAGTTTAAAACTAGCATACATTAAACTACATTATACACTCTACAATATGACTAAAATACCGTAAAGTCAATTCCAAATCAAGACAAAATTTTAAAATCATGAGTACCTCTAGATTGCACCATGTGCTCTCGAACATGATTTTTTTTTCAATAGAATAATCCATTACATTAGTACTATAGGCATATCCAACCGAAAATACTAAAATATACTGTTACCATACCAAAAACAATATAAAAAAAACTAAATTACTAAATTCCAATCTAATGATAAATAGGCTATAAAACCGCTATTATAACTTCAACACAATGTTTAAAACGCATATCAGCTATCAAGAGTGCGAATCGCACAGCTGGTGTTCATTAGCACTCATGAGTTCGCATTCATATATATATGTGGTGTGCATAGGCAAGGAAAATAATTAAAATCAATAATAAGTGATGTATAGAACGAAAACCAAGGTGTGGGTTATTTAGCGTCGGGTTTGTTCCACAAGATGTAAAACATTTGTTTTAAAAAGCATATGTTGTACACGGCATGGGTTTGAATAAAATCGATCACGTGGGTGATACGGTACCAGTTAGTAAATTGTAAGGAGTGTGGCTAAGCATTTGCTGTCATGGAACTTAAGCGATCTCATCCTGTTTTCTGACGTCACAGTAGATACACATTGCAAACACCATACAGAAAATCTACAGATGCGTGAAAAAAATTATGATAATTAATTAATAATAATTTTATACTTTATTATTATGATGAGGATAATGATAGGCCTAATGATAATAGGCCTAATCATAATAATAAAAAGAACGAATATAAAACAAATTAAAAAAAAAAATTCAAAAAGTACCTCAAGAAAAGCCAGGCCTAACCCAGTTCCGCCTACATAGAGAGCGTTGTCCACAACCCAGTCTTCAAAAGCTTCATAGCAGCCGTCTGAGTTCATGTTAGTTTTACTTGGGCTTGAAACGCAACCATCAGTATCTTTCGGTTTTGGGTATTTGCCGTCTACGATGTTATATGGATCATCAACCTTTATATGAAAAATAATCCAGATATGCCATTATTGCATTACTTTATGGTTAAAGTGCTCTCCCACCCACCCCCTCTAAAGTGCAGGTGTGTGGCTAGTAAATTGTAAAACACATAGGATAGGCTCATAATGTACATTAACATACTGACAAAATGGTATATTGGACAGGGATCGGTGAAAAAAGATACGGTCGGTCGTCATCTTTTTTTATCTGTCTTTCTATTTAGGCCTGGATGTTTTATTCCAAAATATAGGCCTATGTATCTTACTTCTTCAAACACCATTAAGTGTCTTAAAAAAATAATTTGTACAACATATAAAAACATTTTGTGTTACTCATAAGTCTCACTTTAATGTTAGGGACGGAGAATTGGACGACATACCTTACAACATGATGGGGGATACGTCCAATTCTTATTCATATACATGCTGCCTGCAAACGGAGTTGGCTCCCAGTCGGCTGAGGAGTTAGTTCCACAACATTCAAGCTGAACATAATCAAGACAAACAAAAATAAAGTTCGTGTATTTATCATTTCATTATTTATCTCTAATGTGATCACATGCTTACCAAAGGCCTATTTGTTTACACTAAAATCTGAAACTATGAAAATACGAAAATACAGAATAGGCCTAGTACTAATAAATGATAATGATGATGAAAATGGCGGTGGTGATGATAATTGCGATAATCATCAAGGCGGTGGTCGTAATACGATGATGATTTTGATCATAATTGTGATGACTACGCTGACGACAATGATAATGACAATGGTGATTATAAATATTATATCATATATAATAATAATAATATTAATAAAAATAAAAATAATAATAACAATAAATAGTAAAATGATAATGACAATGATAACAATGGTGGTGGTGATAACCATCACGGCGGTGGTCGTGATACGGTGATAATTATGATCATAATGGTGATGATCACGCTGACGGTAATGATAATGACAATGATGATAATAAATATTATATCATATATAATAATAATAATAATAATAATATGTTTATATTTAATAACATTGAATAAGTAGTAAAATTCATCTAATCACAGTTAAAATTTTAGTAACTGAATAATAATAAAATAAAATAATAAGTCATAATATTTGAAATTGTTAATGTAATATAAGTTAAGCTCACCAAAAACTGGATGCCATTCCACGCAAGATTGTATTTGTTGTCATCATCCCAAGGACGTTTGTATTTGTCCATGGAATCGCCAAGCTCGTCCTTTACGAATTCGTCCACCTTTTCCTTATACGCAACAGCAACGCAACAGGCAATGAATTGTACCAAGAAGATCACCAGAACTATGACAAAGTACTAAAACAGAAAAGGACTTTAAATAATGCTAAACGCGTTGTGTGAGACAGAGGCATTATGCATGCTATTATAAAATTAGGGAGTATTTGAAATCACAACTTGCGACGCAAGATAATAAGATACTACTTTATTGTTATCATAATGAAGTTAGCGTTGGAAATAGTCTTTCATATAGCGTTTCCACAGAGACACTAAAAACAGGTAGTTTAACTTTTTTGAACTTAAAGTAATTTAAAAATCGGGATAATAACAATGCACGTTACTACGAAGTAAATTTGTAAAATGATGAGAAAAGTCTTTTGCTATGCTATTATCATAATTGATGCGCTGCTCTCGACACTACAAACGTCTTCATTATCTAGTACTTATTTACAATGTACATATTCAGCTAATTAACTATAACTACATTTTAATTACTTGCGACAAATTTTGTAAATGCTGAATAATGATGTCGTTGTAATTATTTTCTTTATCAATATCACGCTATCCTCTTATAACCTATAGCATCACTATCCCACTGTACATCAAACCAGACAATGACATCAACATCGTCTATCTCTATATAGCATCACAAAACTTATATCCAATATCGTCACGCGCCACAAACATCAACACCACACAAGACCTTCATGATTCACCACATTGACAAACACTAGTACCACACTTCAAGCATCAACGCTATCTTCGATTACGTGCGTACCATTATCAACATGCACTTGTTCTTCTTCCAGGCTCCGCAGCATCCGAGGAAAGACACGATGACGATGAATACTCCCAACACGATGAGGATATACGCAGTGTTGGCTACCACTGGATTATCCAGAATGGCTAGAATATCCAACTTGTATGGATCGGTCACAGTCCATATCCCAACGGCAAAAAGGGCAATTCCAATTACCTGCAAACAAAAATGCAATAAATTTGGATAATAATTTATTTTATGAATTTCATTCCTGTATATTAATTACAGATACCCTAGAAAAACCAACGCGTTCGACGACAGGTAAAGCACAGACTTTGTATCTTTAGTGCTATCGTCACACAGCTTTGTAATGGATGGTGGTATTGCACCTACAAGGTGTACAGTAGCCCCTTCCAGGCTAAACCATTATTAGCTACGGACAAACTTCTGGAACATATACAAATTATCAAATTCATTTAGGCCTATTATTAATTGATATACCAGTAGGTCCTACTCATATTCCAGAAAACGTAATTGTTATAGGTTTATAGCCTAAGTACCATGGCATTTATAATATAGTACAGTAACACTTACAAAGAAAATAAGGTTGAAGATAATGAGCAAAACCTTTGCAAACGTTGGACAACACATGTTGATGGTGTACTCTGTACCTGTAAATATAATAATAATAATAATAATAATAATAATAATAATAATAATAATAATAATAATAATAATAATAATAATAATAATAATAATAGTAATTGATGCTATGAATTCTTAATAAAAGATTTAAATTTTTTTAAAAGATCGCTATATGCAATAAGCTTTTATTTATTATTGAACATATTTATACAGGATAACATATCAGGAGGATGTAACAGCCTGTCTTACATATGATCCTGTTTTGCGATACAAGCTTAAAATATATAAAATATACATTGCATTAATAAAATTGAAGATGACTTAATTACAAATAAGCTTTATGTATCCGCACAGTAATAACCCATCACCACGTGATCAACAGCGTATCAGGGAGAGGATCGGGGGGAAAGCCCAGACAAGTTTGCACTACTCTCCCCACAATACCCCACCCCAAGCAAAAAAACAATAATCAAGTAATTAAAAATCACTTCATATTACCACAGTCTGCCAGCAGGTGCCCCTCCCTCATGTTAATATATATGCACCAAGAATGGCCAGGCAGGGAAAGGTACCCGATAGGCCCATGAGGAAAATATCTAATTGACGACTACCCTGTAGCACACCACTGGGGCTCGGGGAACTTTGTACTGGCCCTGGAACCATGACCGTTCTTGGTGGCAATGTTCCCCTAGATGCGTCACTGCCCGGTGCTTCTTGTGATTGACAGTATGTTTAAGGAATTCATGGTTTAATTATGTCTAATATCCACTGAAAACAAGCTTTGTCAACTTTTTCAATACCGTATATGCTATCTATTTTCCTTTTTTTTTCCATCACTAACAATAGAGACACTAATGTCGCATGGCGAAATAAAATGGTAATGTCTCCGTCGTCCCTAGTTTTAATTATTAGTATTACCATGCCAACAAATCGACATCACCTTCGCATTGATTATTTATGGCTCTCTGAATAATAGCTACATTTACCTCATACAGCAATAACCCTGGTTTCTAGTCAACATAACACATTAGCATATATGTTACCAACGCTTAAATTGTAACCGAATACAATTGAATTTTAATGAATATACCTATAAAAAATTAATCAATACCCCTCTTTCCCCTTTTCATACCATGTTAGTTAAAAAGGATGGTTCTAAAATTTTCTTTCACTTGCAATATTCGTACGACTTAAATTGTAATATTTAATAGGCCTACATCCATCATTTTTTTTATTTAACCTGGTAAGTACGGTACATACAAATACATAACAAAACGGTCAGGGACAGATTTATGCAACATCGCAATCGTATATGTATTACCAAAAGAGGCCCAGGGGCGTCGCGTCGCGGAGGCATGCCCCCGAACCGCCTAGGGTAGGCCTAGTGTTATCTCGATCTGCCCACTTTCGGCCCCCCACCCTTTTTTTCGAACATCTCTGGATCCGCCACTGGCATGCCGGTAACATAAACGAATCCTTGGTGTCTGCGTTAAATGCCGATAGACCTGATCAACCAATGCTATGCTGTCTATTATGTATAAAAGGATTAAGTCCATCTTTAAAGGTTACGATTTGTACAAGGACATGAGTTTCCTTGTTCTATCTAAAAATAACCTCCTGATCATCGCTCATCCTCTGTGAGTCAGGACGTGTAAGTCAGTGTAATAATCCTAGACCTACATAAGTATAGCCAGGAAGGCTGCCCATAGAGTGTTCAGACACCATAACTTGAAATGTAATGGCCATACAATAGGCTCAGAAAATGGCAATATATAATGTATATATAGGCTACACACACATTATATAGGCCTATATAGTCATAAAACCTCAAGTTATTGCGGTAATAATTGCCATGTCGTATTCAAAAAGCAATCGATTCAACGTTCTTAAACCGTATGGTATTTCTTTCGACGTTTGTCTTCATGTAAAAATGAAATTTTAATAGTTTGCATTATACATGTCAATCCTCTCTTTGACGCCTCTAATATAATATATTAGAAAGCCATATCGATTGTCCCGGTGGAAATTAAACGCGCAAAATAAACAAGCGCTTCCCCATAATTCATTATGAATTCCTGTTGGAATAGACTACGCATTTGAATAGAATTGGACCTACAGATTCATTAACCATTAGCATGATTATGGTGCAGCAGCAACAACATGATGTGCCATGTATATTCTGTGCTTGACAGATCGATAGTTGGCCTGGGTGATGTGCTCTTGATTCCACAATATTATTACATTAATTCAATAATCGTCTAAACCTTGCAATTCATTTATATCATCAAAAGAGGCCTCCATAAAATCTCAAATAGAAGCCATTGGCTTCTTCTCAAGATAAGCCAATGTTTTTTGAAATGTAATTTTCTATTCGACAATTTGCTTTGGTTAACACCACAAATATAATTGACTGAGTGTCTAAAGAAATTTGGCTCACGTGCACTTTAAAGAACCCAGTACATCTTTCGAGATTAGTAGGGGGTTACCCCGGTGTAGTCCATACAATCCCTGTTGTGGAAAGATTGAATAGAATTGGACCTACAGATCCTTTAACCATTAGCATGATTATGGAGCAGCAGCAACAACAACATGTGCCATGTACATTCTGTGCTTGACAGATCGATAGTTGGCCTGGGGCCAGTGATGTGCTGTTGATTCCACAATATTATTACATTAATTCAATAATCGTCTAAACCTTGCAATTCATTTATATCATCAAAAGAGGCCTCCATAAAATCTCGAATAGTAGCCCTTGGCTTCTTCTCAAGATAAGCCAATGTTTTTTTTAATGTAATTTTCAATTCGACAATTTGTTTTGGTTGTTAAGAACACAAATATAACTGACTGAGTGTCTAAAGAAATTTGACTCACGTGCACTTTAAAGAACCCAGTACATCTTTCGAGATTAGTAGGGGGTTACCCCGGTGTAGTCCATACAATCCCTGTTGTGGACAGACGAGAGATTGCTGGTACCGGTTTACCGAGTAGGTCAGGCATGAAGAGACCCTTAGGGGAGAAGCAATTTCTGTACGAGCTAGTCCACACATAGAGCGTTTAGAGACTTTGATTTGAAGCGTTATATAATCTAACTCAGGCCCGTAACTAGGATTTTTTTTTGGGGGGGGGGGTTCAAATTTGGAAAAAGTGGAGCCTTTTGAAGAAGTTAACGACCAACCAATTGCGCTGACCACATAAATAAGAGTTCCATCTTGTATTAAAAGTTGCTACTGTCTATAAAGATTATTTGAACAGAATTTTGTTTTTTTTTTGTTTTTTTTTTAAGTTTAAGCAATCTTCTTTCGAGATTTTTTTGCCATCCAAGCGGAGTCAGCTCTGTCTCTTATACACATCTAGATGTGTATAAGAGACAGAAGCTTTCCCCCCCCCCCCCACTGGTTACGGGCCTGTAACTGCACTACACTGCATTACAAACAAATATTTTGAACTTATCAAATACAGTATGTTATATCATATTATAGCTATGAAAGTTTTATTTATTGAATATAATATTAAATTTTAAATGGTTAAATATTTAGCGTTAAAGTCAACTTACCGTACCTTTTTGATTGATTTTTTTTTTAAATGAGCGACAATCTGACATTTTTATTGATGTTTATGTTATTCGGTTAGGGCCTACTATTGAAAATAAAGGAAACTGTTGTAATCGTTTGATGTAGGCCTACTAAGATTTATTATAAAAGCTATCTCATACATTATGTACCGTATGTTTCTCTTACTAATTGAGAATACAATCACATCACATGTTTTAATTATCATAACAGCAGATTCATAATTTTGATATTTTTACTTAGAGCGACGACCTAGACATAAGTACGCTTACTTATTATAAAATAGCATAATTAGGCGTATGTCTTGCGTACCAAATTTACAAACTAAAGTTTAATAACATTGTGACAATTATTTTTAAAATAATAAGATTACTTATTAATTAATATCATAGAAAATATTTATAGGCCTAAAATTTAACTTTCACTGCTGAATGCTAATTAAATGTTGAAAGTCTAAGGTAGAAACACCCTCTCCACCACCTACTCTGGCCCACTATACTACCAATTCTGCTGTGGAAAAACCAGAACCATATACTCTGGTCAGCGCTAACCTAACATAACGTCAACAGAATAATTAATTCCACGATATGATACAATCGATATCATGCAAGCTAATAACTACAGACTTCAATGGAACACAAATTTTATGGCTGAATATCAAAGAGCTGTGTTCCTTTCACTAGTTATCAAGGACAAACTCACAGGTTTCTTCATAATTGTGCTTTGATATTTCTATACTTGCTTGACGAAATAAGTGGAATTAATAACGAATAACTACTTTGGGGTCATTATCTGTATAATTAAAATCAATTAAATTCATTATTTTAAAAAAATGTAAATTCGCCACTGGGGCATTTAGAAAATGACAAAAAGGTACTTATTAACTTGTTTTTGTTGTATCAAAATGTCAAAATGGTTTTCTTTTCGAATTCAGACCTTTTGATGTTACAAGCGAACAAAAATAACACACCAGTGGCATTAAAAAGGTCTGAGAATAATACCAGATAGGTTCGCAATGGGAGTATTGGTTAATCTGCAATTCAGTCACGTTAGACCGATTGTCGCATACATATGGTGATGATATGCAACAATAAAATAAAATGTACATAAGCTTTACAAGTTACATTTGTTCTATTGTCTTAAATATGGTATTGCCACAAAAATCCAGGTTAGGCACATACGGGCCTTCCGTTACAGTGTACGGTACTGACGATTATATTTTTATCGAATACAATCACTAAATTTAACTTATAAGTTGATTTCAATCCTTTTGGACGATTGCTGGATAAACGAGATTCTTCCGTCAAATTACAATTCAAAGTTGGTATTTAACTACAGTATTGTCTATTATTACAGTTAGATGAACAGAGGGAAAAGTGGGTTGCTCAGACACAGTAGAAAATTATGTAATATTTACGGGAAACCTATAGATTTAATTAGGGTGTGACGTTCCACATGTATTGTCTGTGTACAAGATGTAGCAAAATATTACAACGTTGACACAGTAGAAAATTTTGTAATATTTTCGGGAAACCTAGAGATTTAATTAGGGTGTGACGTTCCACATGCCTTGTCTGTGTACAAATGTAGCAAACTATTGAAAGAAACAACTAAATTTAATTGTGTAAAGTTGATTTTTTATTTTGTGATGAGAGAACAACATTTCTTACTATTAGTATTTATTTATTTATTCTTTCTTTATCCTGAAATTCATTTTCAATACAAATTTACTGATTTCCAAAGTGGCTCAGTTAAAAACAAACAAATATGTATAAAATCAAATGATACAAGAAAAAAATTTAAAAGAAAAATGATTGCAACAAACTCGCAGAAAAAGTACACAGTTTGTTTATTTGTTTTTGTTCTAATTTAAATGTTTTAAAAGGTTTAATAATTAAATAGCATTTGAAATAACATTTTTGAAGATAGATGTTGACAAAATATTTAAGGTCAATTTTAATACGATTGGATTAAATTTGGTTGATCTGTATTTAAATGTTCTTTTACCCTGAGAATTATTGTAATTTAGTAAAATTTAGGTATTACTTTGACTACCTTTTTTGTTATGGCTATCAGTAAAAACGAATTCTGATGGCAAATAAGGTGGAGCAATTCAATGCATGTTTAACCATTTAAAAAAATGTTGCTATTGTACTAAATTGTGCTATGTGAAAATTTTACTAGTGTATATGTAGGCCTATCGTACCAGCGAATACAAAAAAGCCTTATGTAATACGGTAGGCCTACTGATGATAAAGTTGTAAAACTGTCTGCCATTGGTAAATCGTAAAGGTGAGGGCAGAAAACTCCTGCAAAGTGACAAAAGTGTAGGTATTTTTTTAAGTTGACTTCTTCAAATATTTATAAATTAATGAATAAGAGATTTTGTTTTGTTGAACTATATTCTCCACAGCATAAAAGGCGCTCAAGGTCAATAACGCTAACCATTGTTTGAAATTATGCATTAAAATATTATTGACAATACAAAAATGCAAAATATAATAAACATAAATGATGACTAAGACGCCTACAGTGCTCTATTAGTGTATGATAACGGAATGCATGCTTTACATTGTTAATAACTGTTTTCGAATATTCCCCTCAATATTTGTTGTAGGCCCTAGGCCTATATTTTATTGCTTGAAGTTCCATTTTTTTCTGATTAAAAAAGCAGAAAATCGTATCATACGTGTTTAGCAGCAGTGATTATGTGGTCCTGCTGGGCTAAGTTTGAAGGTTTTAGCAAAAGAAAGATTAAAACTAATGGGACGATGCAAGAATTTAAAAAAATACCACGGTAAACACCGCGGTAAACCTGGTGAAATGAATAATTTCCGTGCTCTGACGTACCTTATAGTTGTGTTACCTTGACCGTGCTCAAAGAAGAATACAGCTATATTTACTAGACTTTTTTTTATAGAACACATTTTATAAGAACAATAAAGCTGAAATTTCTTAAAGAACAAATTGAGCCTGAAGATAATGCCAAATGAGGTTTTTAAACAAAATAGAAAAACAAAAAATCATACACCTTATTTACAGTTGGTATGACTATGTAATGCCTCTATAATACAGTAGGCCAACAATAATGCTGCTATACAATAATAATTTTCTATGTTTGAATAGCGTGTAAAATATAAAAATAATAAGAACATTTTGAGCCTGAAATCGGCCAAAAGATAAGAACACTGAACCTGGGCAAAATTTTACTCGTTCTTGTAAAAAAAAAGTGTAGGCCTATAGCCTACTATATGGAAGTAAAGTGTAAAGTGATCGTCAAAAATTCCCTCAGTTAAAATTGTATAACAATTGAACACAGCTCTAAGGTGGTATAGTACAACAATTGTGTGTGTGACACACCGTAAAATGAGTAAAGCCGTCAACAAGTCATTAAGAAGCTTTCGATTGCACGACGACGGTAGGACGTAGAACGTAATGACGTCAGTAAAAGTCATCTGCGCATGCGAGAACGTTAAGGTCACCTCGTCGAGTAGATTCTGGAACGCAATTTTGCCAAAAATCTTCGTATGCAGAGAACGTATTACGCCATGTAGGACGGTCACGCATGAGTGATTCCGTTCTAGCGTCGCGTTGTCGCGCACACTGAAAGCTCCCTATTGAATTGTATCACGACGGTTACCACCTTGACTTGTGTCTTTCCATTGTTATAATTGAAGATCCTCACCCCTGTACTTAACTGCATTGTTTTCGACAAGTTCTGTCAATAACATATACATTTGGTTAAAACACAAGGAATTGATTTTGGGTGTCACCGATATAAAAGGTTCGAATATGTACTGCGCGCGTGTCATCAAATTCAACTGCAACCACCTTTTCGTTTAATTCTGTCCGGATTTCGCTTTTAGTCTAAAGCGCATAGGGGTTTCTAGGATTCTGCGCTATATAAATTTAGGCCCTATTAATTATTATTATTAATGCAACCTACTGACTGATGAACAAAACGGGATATTCACAAAAAAAAAAAAAAAAAAAAAAAAAAAAAAAAACCTTAAAAAAAAAAAAAAAAAAAAAAAAAAAAAAAAAAACCTTATTTAGCGGGGAGGAGGATAACAGAGTAATACAATGGTTTACGAGGAACACTGATGGAAACATAAATTTATACCTGAACTATAGCTTTAAACGCGTCTCCAAAACGGGACAAAATTGCGTGAGCTGTGTGTTTAAATGCGCCACGCTGTTTTTTCAGTGTAATTAAATGTTATGGTACAAAATGTTGTTATTCCTCTGAGCTAGATTTCACCATCATGCACATGGTAAATACATTTTTTTTGTGCTTAATTGTGTATGACTGTGTACACAAAAATCACACAATGGGACTGCTATCATATACTACAGCAAAGCCTTGGGCATAATGCACCGTCCCAGTACGGTATACATTTCAATAATGGCACTGCGATTAACTTCGTATTAACATGGGTACTGAATTTTAAAATGGGGTCTATACAAACTATATATCACCTTTCGTCCTTAATTTCGGAGGCGATCTCTCTCATATCCACGGGGTGGCAAAATTTGGGCTCACCCCGCCAGCCAAAAAAATTACAATCACGTGAGAAAATCATTAGACAATAATGACAAAAATACTAAGCTTTCTGATTTTCACAATAGGTAAGAGACGCCCAAAAAATTTACTCTTGATCATTGGTTCCGACCCTCGGACATGTTCATCGAGCCACCGCGCGGCGCGTCACCCGGGAGCTCATCTCTGCACCAGTCATTGTGTATGGTGGGAAAGGAAAATTGATTAGTTCCAAAAAAAAAAATATATATATGATGGCATAAGAAAGTATAATACATACTCCAAGTATTGAAATACACGCCATCGTCTTGGGATTCAATATTTCGACATTAATTATATCATCATCAGGAATTATGTATTATACTTTCTTATCTGAGATTAATCAGTGGACCTTTCGGTTTTAAGATGGCATGATACATCAATAAACAAATACACATTCCTTATTTAATTCGATGAATGAATATAACAAGTGTGGCATTCCTATCAGTTCGAAGTCAATCAAACGGCAAAGGTTTTGTGGGAACAACAATAAAGGCGTGTCTTGTTCTAGGTCAACATCGGAACTGAATGAACTGAAGCAATGGCGAAATATATATATATATATAGAATTACTATAGGTCCAGAATTACTATAGGCCAGACCTATTTATTTAAATCATCTATACTAGCCGTATGCTCGTTATATTGCCGTGTGATTACCGCGCCTGTTTGACATTTTTAAAAACGGAAATTTACATGTAAAGCGATGAATAATATCCTTACGTCGATGAAAAACAAACCATGGATGATTCACAAAATTGTGAATGAGACTACCACGGTATATATTTAAATAAAACGTTTCAACGTTTCAACATCGTCAGTACTTAAAACTCTTCCGATATACAGCATATAATTGTGGTAATCAGAATGCACTCGTGTTAAGAAACACAAAATACAGACTTTCATTAAAACAAACATTCACACTGTGCGTCTTGTTGAGTCAAATAATAGTAGGGCCTCAGTGGTTTTGCGTCTAGCCTACGGACGTGCCTTATCCAAACAGAACCTCAAAAAAAAGATGAACGAACTAAACAACCATGTCTATTCATCTATAAAACATATTATAAATATCGTAACATAAACATTACTAAAGTTAAAGTTAGAAGTGTTTTTTATATTGAAGTAAAAAGGCCTACCTTCTTATATGCAGGAGTTGGTCTCAGCTCTCTTCACATTCAACTGCCGTCTACGTTAAGCAACACAGAGCGTACCGTATGACGTCAACTTTCCTCTTACAATCAGCAATACAATCAAACTATGGAATCTATTGTTACGGGCACAGAGGTATCTAATTGTATCTTCAAAATGGACATGTGACCATTTATCTTATACCTGCTTAATTAGAGCTTAAGAGTTGAATGAGGACGCGCTGTAGTGTGGCCAGATTCACAAAAATCTTTATAAAATCAACTTTACCAAGGCAATTCAACACAACTCGAAATTGTGCGAGTACTTGCGATAATACGTACACGGACCACGCATCATTTCCGTCACCACGAGTTGAAGCGACATCCATCTAAAAGTCAGTTTACTAAGTTGTGCCACAACACGGCATTTCCAGATTAATTTTAAACATATTTTTTATATACACATTTAAAAACAATAGGCTTATTTTTAAATATTTACAAAAATATTTATATCAACAGGATTATGTTAATTATTATGCCGTATATAGGCCTACTTTTGGGAGAGCTCGTGGTAAGTCCATCATCCTTCCTCCATAAATGATCAATAAAATTCGTCTAAATGCAAGAATAGATCCATTCAGAATTATGTGAGTGATCCAGCAGTTTGAACCAGTGGAAAGGGATTAAGCCCATCCCTCCTGTCTATGGTAAAAGGAAGTGTATCGGCGGTCACGACTTCACCAAAAATAAAAAGAAAATTGTTGTTATATTGGGTTGACTAAATCATGCCGGGTGTACAGGCCCACGCCGGGGTCTCCAACAGAAATTCTGAGATATCCACATGTTAGACACCTTTCCCCTCGGAATGTGTAGTAAAGAGAGCCACCACTCATAGGTACTTTAGCACACTTTCTCTGTTAAGCTTTCCCTTCCTTATTCATGAAGGTTGGGAACAGGCTGTCCAAAATGTTGTTGGCCGATTTGATGCATATAAAATATCTTAATCACTGCTTTAATCATTCAGCAACTATATTACATCAACACTATATATATACTGTCTCTTATACACATCTAGATGACAAGGCTAGGCCTAACTAGACAGTGCAATAATATGTGATAGAAAGTACACTTTCGAAAGAAATAAATTAAAATTAAATTTAAAAAAAAAACCAAAAACAAATAACTAAGAATAATCCAGTTGCAGAGGTACCTTGTACGTATTATACAATGCTAACAATGCGGCTCTTGTATCCCTAGTTAGGACAAGGCATCCATGTGCAAAGCAGTGGTGTTTGTTTATCCATGAAAAAAGCACGCCGGGATAGTTCGCCTTACCAGGAAAAGGTGACGTAATCTAGCTTATGACGTATGCATGCTTACTATATTGTGAGTGTGACATCACCGAAAAATGAATATTTTCTATTATAACCAAAATATTAATAACTACAAGGTTTCTGGGCGTAAATTCCCTTAATACGAATTAAGGGTGGCACAATCTCCTTGCCATACAAATTACAGCTCCCACTGACGTCTCAGTCGAGAAATACGGGTAGCTGAAGTTTTTCTCGCAAATCTGACTACGAAACCATATCCAAATTTCACGTTCCACTTTTGACCCTGATTTGTGCTTCGCACTCGCCGCTGACGGCGGCGTTCCGGGGAGGGCGGCGCTCCGGGGAGGGGCGGCGTTCCGGGAACCCTGCGTCTAGAAATCTCGAATGTTGTTACAGTAATTGAAAAACACTTTGTCCCAATCATGGTTTCGAACTTATTATATGATATAATCAGGAAAGAGTGCCAATTAACTCTTCCCTACTATAATACAGTTTAACCTCCAGTGCGACCGCCTCCCGTAAGCCACCTCCTTTATACTTATTAAAAGTATTTTAAAGTACCAGTATATATTGTACATTTTTAATTTAATAAATTTAGATATGTTTTTTTGCAAGATGAATGTAAAACTATAATTATTAAGCAACATAAATTAATTGAAATTGTGTTTAATTATTATCATTACATTGTGAAATATTTAAAAACTGTTTCAGTTGTAAGGGTCCAAATTTATATACAGTAATTCTATTCCAAATTGTACTGTATTTGTTTATGTACGTTTGCTATTTTAAAACTAAAATTTAAACAATATATTTTGTAAATTTCCTTGTAAGTCTGATAACTAATTAATTAGCTTTTTAAACTACTGTATGTTCTAATTTTAATAAATTACCTTTAATATCTGAATTTTATAAATTTGTTAGTAATTAAGTGATTCTTGTTTTTTTTCTTCATGTATTGTTTGAGGGCCCCTAATGATGAGCAATGCTTGATATATGGTATTAAAAAAAAATTATAACCAGGAAGCATTATTGTACATATCGTCGCTCACATCACGAACTAACACAATCGAAGTAGATTGTGTTAGTTCGTGAAATCAGGAAAGCATGTCAAAATACGTGCTGCTGTTAAGGACTTTTTGTGTGGTAAAGAATACAAAATTGCTTGACAACCAATACACGCTCATTTTGACACGCTACTGTGATTTCACGAACTAACACAATCTACTTTGATTGTGTTAGTTCGTGATGTGAGCGACGATATATCACTAGGTGCTGTGTTGATCAAGCCTCGAATAGAAAGATCCCACTTAAAAAGTGGGACAGATGAATTCGGGTGTTACCCGAAAACATATTTGATATGTTGCATTTTTACAAGTGTTCACACATTGCATCCAGACTGATTTTTTTTTCTTAGAGGTTTTATAGAAATAAATGTGGTAAAAACCTCTTAATTCTGTCTTAAAATTTTACCCTGGCTGCGCCCCTGCCATAGGAGTCCGACAAGGGTAAGGTCCTAATAAATTTTGCCTGGATCTTCCAGTTAGCATTCCAGGGGTTGATATGAAGGGTTGAGGTTTTATGGTTTAGGATGGTCAAATGAATATTTTTATTCCATCCACAAAATGGCATTCACTTGGTAAAACTATCATTAATTTGCTAACATTAACCAAATGAATGTTTGACCATTTTGATGATGGTGAATTTTTACTAATTTAACATTATGGTACCAAACATAATACTAACACATTTATTATTTCTAATCACTCACAGGCATCGGTCAACATTTCCATACTTTCTACAATTTTGTCATGATTCTAAGTCTGTTCTCGTTTTGGATTTAGTGATGCACTGAGTAAATTAGTTTAATTTGCAAGATTAATTATATTGTTATGGAACTATGATAATGGCAAAATATAATGCCAGACGAGGACACACCTGCACACAACCTTGTAGTGACGGACTTTAGTCGTTGCAAGATGTAACCAATCTGTAGGTAATATTACAAAAGCTTGGTTTATGAAGAACAAAATCAATACAAATGAACATAATTTTCCTGCTTCCTGTCCCTTTATTAAAATTGATGATCAATGAACGGAAAAAAACTCTTTCATAATTATTGATATTTTTTACAAAAGGAAAATGAAGCTTATGCGACTTGGCGTGGTTCCTGCTTGTTGGTTGTCATGGTGATTTCGATTCACAGTTATTTATGCCACAAGAGCTGAAGCAGTTGACGACTCACTGGAAAGAAAAATTATTTTCTTGAATTAACTTGGTTTTGCATGGGTACGTCATATATTATACTTATTCAGCATGAGTATATAAAAGCACAAACATTAAAGAATAATAATTCCAATTATAATACAGATTTTAAAAATATTGCCAAATAATACGCAACACACACACACACTCTTTGCCAGAATATAAGTGTGTTAAAGATTTGAACTCCCTACCAATAGGTAAATTTCAACACTTGATTATATTTAGACATTCATCAACAATTAGCGAATTGAAAACAAATGACACTGCCTCTGTTCCCTGGATTCACATTCACATGTTCTCGCATTCCATTTTTTCCCTGTATTATTTATGATGTCATCTGTTTTGAGTATTTGGGACCCCTCCAAAAAATCCTGTGTAGGATTTTGAGGGTTATATCCCAGATATCATAACTTTCAACTCTATGTTTATTGTCGTTTTCCTTGTTTTTCGTTTATATCAAGTAAATCAAATCAAATCATCAAAGTCATATTAAATTTACTTACTACTTCCAGTTGGGTGGCAAAACTCTTTTTGTCTTGTAGTATCTGGCCAGACGGTAGATACGGCTTTCAACAAGAATAAGACGGAACTTGGAATCTTTGTCCTAAAACAATTTTAAAAATTGAATAGCTAATTCAAAAGCATCAAATAAGTTGTTTAAAAATTATGCCTCATGTAGACCTCTCATTAACATTCTTTCCCATGTGTTTTTTTGATAGTTTTATTGTCAATTTTAAATTCAACGTCAATTATAAATTCAAAAGCAGAAAAAAAACAAAACAAACTTTTCCCAAAAACTATATATACTTAGTCAAAAGTAAGTGAAATGTATATGACTGGTGTTACATGAATGTGTAAAATAGTTGCAATTGTCTGTTTTAAATATGTTTTGTATACTATTCAAATTATTTGTACTATACATATAATATGTAAAAATACATATAAAAATAAACAATAATGCAAACTATGTATAAATAAAATATGTGTGACAATAAAGAAATACTGAAATTAGTTACCCATTTAGACTTTTTAAATGACATAGACAAACATAAATACTTTTATGTTCTTTGCCAATAACCAAATTTACACTGAGTGTTTGAAACACCAACCACTCCTATAATAAATGAACAATTACCACCAACAAAATATTAAAGAAATTAACACAAATATAAATAAAAATTTTAATTGATCGCACCTTTCGATTTCTTTCCAAATGCTTTCGGATGGCAACAGCCTTTTTTATGAGATAATACAGATCTTCTGGGAGATCAGGAGCTAGGCCTTGAGATTTGAGAATACGAAGGATTTTATTTCCAGTCACAAACCTTACTTGGGCTACACCATGGGAGTCCCGAAGTATGACACCTGAAATATTAAAAAGAAATGGATAGTTAAGACTGAAGTCTAAGGTAATTGTGAAGCCAGCTCCAACAATCAACACCTCAGATTTGTGCATAATCGTTTGAATAATAACCACGGCCACATTAAAAATACAAATCATAGGAAATTATGTTAACTAAAATTGTCAGATATGCGTATAATATACAATGATTAACGTGGTATAAATGTGTGTATATAATGTATAATAAATTGTGTGATATAATGCACAAATGAAATACAGTGTATCTTTTTATAATTATATTAAATTTTTGACTTGTTTTGGTTAAGAACATTTGTAAGTTCTAGTTTGGATAGGCACATATTTTGATGAGTGTTTACACTTTTGCCTGTCCTGGTATCTCTAGAATTGCTCACTATTTGTTGTATTAGCAGTATGCGTAGGTATTTTTTTATCGTAAGTTGTATGAAAGGTAATTTTTAAATTGTATATTTTTATACATTTTTAAAAACCGAATAAATATAATAATAATAATACTTCTTTTACACTGCCAAGAATATTTATGTAATAACTTTTAAACTATGTTAAACATACCAATTTGTGAGGGGGTCAACCCTTTCTTAGCAAGCTTAAAAATCTGATCCTTGACATCATCTGATGACAGTTTCAACCATGTTGGCACACTTCTTCTGTAAGGCAGCGAGGAACTGGAAATACCCTTTCTAAAAATATCAGAAAAATATATATATTCATATAGAATATAAAATATATAGACCACCTGTCTGGTGGGTGGAAAGCCTCCGTCTATATCACTATAAGACAAATGAATGGGCATAGCATAGGCAGGCCTATTCATAGACTGTAAAGCAAGATCTGCACAGGGAATGTATCCTTGAAATTGGCCTTGAAATTCGTCCCCGCATTCCAGAAAATAAGGGCCGATTTCTGTGTGTGTGTGTGTTTCTGTGGGTTGACCTATCTATCTAGGCCTAGGCTATATAAAATCATAGTATTATGCACACCTATTTTCCTATCGATTTTTCACGCAAATTCGATACAGTTTTTGAGGTATCATCCACGCAATTAGAAAACTTTACAGTTTTGGCCTTTGGCTTTTCCAACAACTGTCAATAATAACAATAAACATCATGAAACAACATATCACAATAATGAATAATAGCCTGCCTAATTAAAAAATCAAACATTCAATTACCATCAACAGGCACATAGCCATAGATAATATAAATCAAACAGTACACGAATAATTTCATGTAGTAAAAACAAACAGGCTAGGCCTAGTATTACAGCTAATCAAATGTTTAGGTACGAGTACGCCAAAGTGGGTACGACGAGTTGTTGTGTATACGTGTGGGCTTTTGGATGGGTAGGTACGAGTTGACCAAAACACCCACGAGAAAGACACTACGGGACGGTCACCCATTCCACAACTAAGCTTAGAGCATGCTAGTTCTCACTTTTTGACAACTAAAAGAAAGTTTGGGCATTCATATATATTTATACAGCATATTTTATCTACATTATGTGAAATAAATGTGATTTTATAAAGGAATATTTCTTTACCCAGGCGCATGCATACGACCCATGATGGCAGATTTTACGAAGAGAAAGGTCACGTGGTACTTTGTACGCTTATCTTCCTCATTCGTTCATAATAAAATAAATCTTACTTACATTAGTATAATTTGAATTTTGCTGTTCAATTTATTAAAATAATACATTTTTTATATATAAAAATACATTATTAGTGTAAATATTATTCTAGAATATTTATGTAATTTATAATATATATTTTAGTAGTCTAGGTAGGACTTTCATTGATAGGTTAAAGGTCACTTCTAGGTGCCTTAATTTATTTGTGGGTCAACCTACGACTCGCGAAAGATCGAAATGAAGTTCGGCCGAAATGGCGACGCTGACCGACTGGACTGCAAATAATTCAAGTAAAATTTCTACTACTAGCTAAGGCCTCATTATATTATCTGGTAGTCTAGTACGAATTTAACATTTAATTTTTTTAGTGAATTTCTTCAGTGAAGCACGAACGAGATGGCACCCACCAAGAAGTTAGAGAGATCAATGTCAATGTCTCGTGTCCAGAAGACCCTGCCAGGGTTTGATATTCCCCTGGGAGGTGAGATGGACAAAGGGGCTACAGCCTCTGAGCAAAATATGTGGCTTTTCGAGATTGCCTGGGAAGTAGTAAACAAAGGTACGCCTGAGTCATTGGTTCTGTATTTTTGCAGTCTCAGTTTTGGTTGTAATTATAGGAGCCTAGCCCTAGGGGCCTATATAAATTTAATTGAATATTTTTGTTTAAATAAATAATAATTATTAATTCAGTAATTGATGGCCTTATTTAGGCCTAGGCCTAGCATTTCTGTAAAATTTAGGATATGCCTAGGCCTAAATGTTTTCAAATATTAAGTACAGTATTTTTTTAGTAAAGCGCATTGAGGCTTTATAGCGGAATGCCCTCATAAAAGAATCAAGTTATTATTATTATATGATATAAACGAGGCAGCAAATGAAAATGTAGACCTACAACTTGCAGGAGGAATGCCTATCTATATAATGTGCACACATCTATGATATAGCTGCCAGATATTTGTAGAAGCTGGAGCAGATCAGTTTGGAACCCACACAAAGAATGATGCAGCCAAGTTGGAATCAATGGTGTGCAGCAAGTCTTTTCTTTCAGCAGATTGACATTGTAACCTCCATGCTAAATGACCTTCGGTGACAAAGTTTAGAAGAAAGACATAAATATAGTGTCTTCCTGATGGAGATGTAACTTGTAGACCGTGGGTTGAGGCTCCAAAATCGGCTTAGTTTACGAATTCTGTGACCCACCGATCCGCGCTACTTGGCATTCGCACAAAAATGTCAATACTATTTTATTGAAACATAATATAATTGTCGGCAATCGTAAATTTGGGGAAACTATAACAAAAAATGAGAATTTATCTTTCGAAAAAATAATGTCGTTCACGAAAGCAGTACCCAGTCACAGCACACTTACCATACCTGTTAAGCATTGATGAGACACTATTAGCCAATCACAAATGTTCTTGTAAACTCGGTAACTAATGTAAACAATGTCGCAAGGAAAGTGACAATGTATAGCAATTTGGACGAAAGTTCTCCTGTTTTAGTGGAATATTATGATATAAGTATACCAGCCTTTAAATAAAATACATTGGTAATAGTTTGTAAGATTTTAGAGGTAGTAAATTGCATTTCCCGTCTTCTGTCGACTGCCATACCGTAGTTTTTTAAGCCAAAGTCGACCGTGCTGTATGTGTATTGTATTACTTATCTAGGCCTACATATGCATAGTAGGAAGGGCAAGAAGTAATGTTCATCGACTTTGAATGAGACAGGAAATTCCTGTAAATATATAATATATTTTGATTCCATTTGGAATCACTTTTTTTTTTCTGTTTTTGTTTTTCTATAATTAAAAAAATGTACATTTTAAAAGAAAACTGAGGCTGAATTACTTCAAAAAATAGAACACATTGAGGCTGATGTAAAATTTCAAATGTTTTTATTTGCATGCAATGTAAATAAATAACATTAATCAGTATTTCTTGCCATGCCTGTTGATTTTTGTTTAACTGCTTGAAGACCTTGGTAATATGGACTGAATAAATGAATAAAAGTAAAGCAATTGATGATTCCAATAAGGTGAAACAAATAAATTTTTAATATACCTCAGTTCAGCCAGTTGCATCCCATCAGCACTTTCATTATCTCTCTGATCACTCACTGGGTATATACATTTAACTACACAATGTCAGTAAACACAAGGTTGAAAGAAGTTTATGACAAAAATCTGAACTTTTATATGAATATTATTGAAACACTGTAGCACATCATATACCTACACAGAACTGCTTTAAACATAGCTGAATATAGAGTTCAA